GGTCTGCAACTTTGTGGGGCGCTCCCAGGCGCGCGCGCCCGCCTCCCGTAGTAGTTGGGCGCAGGCCCCGCCCCCCGGCCGTGTTGTCAAACGGGCCGGGGTCTCGGATTGGTCCAGCGGCCGGGACAACACCTGCTCGACTCCTTCATTCAAGTGACACCAGAGCTTCCAGGGATATTTGAGGCACCATCCCTGCCATTGCCCGGCACTCGCGGCGCCGCGAAAGGCCTGGTCACATGCTCTCCGGAGAGCTACGGGAGGGCGCTGGGTAACCTCTATCCAGCCGCGGCCGCCAGGAGGAGGGAAAGTGGGAGGAGGGGAAGCGGCGACGGAGGAAGAGGGGGAGGGGAGCACAAAGCTTCCAGGTCTCCGGGCGGGAGGTTTACGCCGAGAACCATGTGTGCCGAGCGGCTCGGCCAGTTCGTGACCCTGGCTTTGGTGCTGGCCACCTTCGACCCGGCGCGGGGAACCGACGCTACCAACCCGCCCGAGGGTCCCCAAGACAGGGGCTCCCAGCAGAAAGGCCGCCTGTCCCTGCAGAACACAGGTAAGCGCGTGCGCCCCCGCGGCGGGGAGCTGCCGGGCGACCACACCGGGCACCCACGCAGCGCTCCCCGGGCGCTCCGTCCGGAACTGCGCGCCCACCGAGGGCCATGCAAACTCCCGGGTGGCGCGGGACGTGCAAAGGAGAGCGTGAGGCCGGGCGAGGTCCGCGCCGGGCTCCACGCGCCCGGAATCCGCACGTGCTGGCCGGGTGATGAAATCGCTGGGCAGGACTTGTTGCTGCCCTCCCCTGGGTCGAGGGTAAACGAGGCAGCGCCGACGCGGCCAGTGCCGACCCGGGCTCCCCCGTCCGGGGCAAAGCGCCCTGCTCCATCCTGGCCGCCCGGCAGGAAGCACGGAGGGTGCCCGAGCCGAGCTGCACCCTGCGCCGGGAGAACTTCTCTCCCATCCGGCCGGCTGCGGCAGGACCGCTTCTCCCCCTCCCCTAAAGATGCCCGACATCCCAGAACTTTGTAGGCGAGATGTTGCCTTGCGAACTTTCCCCTGGGGGGAGGGGGCATCGCTTTCAGAAAGGGGGTGGGGATAGCGCAAAGCGTACCTCTGCGGTGCGGCCGCCGTCCCGGCTCCGGGTCTGGTCAGCAAGCCAAGAAATGGTGACACGGCCCCAACGGTGCGCTGCCGGCCACGGCTCGACCCGCTCTGCCCAGCTGCCGAGCAGAGCCAGGCGTGCAGGGCACGGGGCCGGTCCTTTTCCCAGCTCCGGGGAGAGCGAGGAAAATCTGCCTCCATCTCCGTGACTCGAGGCGGTTCCCCCTTTTCGGGGACCTGCGAACCCGGC